AAAAACGAAAAGAAATTACCCAAGCTGAGCAACTCAGGGAAAATAAATCGAAAAGAAAAAGAACAGAGATTCAGGGACAATAATGAAAAATATTTAACATTAATATTATTCCAATCCTAGAGGGAGAGGAGAAAGAATATGGTAATGAAAAATATTTGAAGCAATAATGACTAATATTTTCTCAATTATGGAAAAAATATAAAACAACGCACTTGAGAAAATGAGGGAATACCAAACAAGAAAGAATTTTACACCAAGACACATCATAGTCAAACCTCTGAAAACTAAAGGCAAATAAAAAATCTTGAAGTAAAAAAATAAAAAAGTCTCTCTAGAATTATTCTTGCCCCATTGTAGACTAATTTACATAGTATAGACAAAAGTGCCATTAGAGTATGTCAGACTATACACCCTTGTCTTACAATGCTTCAAACAGCTTTCATTTCACCTGAAGATTAATTCTCACTGCCCTATATGACCTGACCCAATACTACCTCTTAGACCCGTTCTTGTGACACTCACACTCAGATATGACTCTGATCCAGCCACACTCACTGTCTTTCTCTTCTTCAGCTTCACCAAGCAAGGTCCTGTATTAAAGCCTTTGTACATTTGTTTCTCTCTGCTAGACCCACTTATCTCAGGTGTTTTGGTTAACTCTGCTTCAATTTTACTCTTTAGAAAAGCTTTTATATGACCACTTATGCTCTTTACCCATTATTCTGCTTTATTTGTATTCTTTATACCACAAACTATATAACATAGTTTATATTTCTTTATTTTGGTGTCCTGTTCATCCCTTCTGCAGTCCTAAAACATAAGGTCCACGAGGGTAACAACTTGATCAATTCTGTTTAATGTCTTTTACTCCAGAACCCAAAATTTCTTGAACATAGTAGATGTGCAATAAATATTTGAAAATAAATAAATAATTTAAAACGAACATCAGTTTGGGAAAAAGAGTGAAAATTTGTATCTGAAAGCCTTGTTCTTACCTGTGTCAGCACTGTGTCCTGTGGTGTCGAGACTTCTACACATAACACAGACTTAGATAATAGTAAGCCGTGGCTACTACCATCCCTGGCAACTATCCACAGAATGTCAGCAAAGTACAGCATGAGCCAGCTTGGCATCTGTGTGTGATATTAGCCCATATTTCTCCTTTGAGAAAGAGGAAACACATCCACATAAAGCAAATGAGGTGAAAAAAAGGCTGACAATGAGTTATAAATTAAATTAGTGTCATTCTCATTGGTATGTGCTTAAGAGAGAGAAAGGATGTTAGGCTGGCACTAAATTAGGTCCTTTCAGGTATTTTTTAAAATGTATGGCTGGGCGTGGTGGTTCACACCTGTAATCCCAGCACTTTAGGAATCTGAGGTGGGTGGATCTCCTGAAGTCAGGAGTTCGAGACCTGCCTGGCCAACACGGCAAAACCCCGTCTGTACTAAAAATACAAAAATTACCCAGGCATGGTGGCATGTACCGGTAGTCCCCACTACTTGGGAGGCTGATGCAGGAGAATTGCTTGAACCTGGGAAGCAGAGATTGCAGTGAGTCGAGATCACATCACTGCACTCCTGCCGGGGTAACAGAGCGATACTCTGTCTCAAAAAACAAACAAACAAACAAACAAACAAAAAAAACAAAAAAAAATTAGAATTCTGGAATTCTCTCTGAATACTTTTCTAGAGAGACTGCATGCATCTATAATAATCTTCTTTTCTAAACCCAAATCTGAGCCATTCAATTTGACGCATATAAATTTACTTATGAGAACACCAGGACAAAACATAAAAAATTGTCACTGGCTTAAAAATTGTCGGGTATTTAGGTACAGTATATAGGCCTCTGAAATGACATTGAGAATAGTAAGTGGATGAATGACCAGACAAAAAGAACAAGCAGGTGCAGTACAGATGGGAGATATGCATTCAAAGAGAAGACAGCTGAGCCAGTTCAGTGTGAGGAACAAAGAGTATCAGTGACACACCCAGCTTCAGGGATGATACTGGCAAACATGAATGGTTTGAGTGTTGACGCATAATGGAGTAAATAAATATTCACTACCTCAAAGAAGTCATCGTAGAAAGATAGGAATAGAAATAGAGATTTACCAGAAGAGTTGGGCTTCTTTCCCTTATACCCAACTAACGTAGGGATTATGCAGTTTTGACACCATGTAAACTGTAATTCATCAAAAACCGTTTCAACCATCATCATGTATACCAGCAGCAGATATGCATGTGCCAAACACAACGTGTTTATGCTCAACATCACATTCCAGCTCACCTCCTTCACAGCAATGTGCTTTTATGTCTCACAGCTTTGTGCGTCTGAGGCTCTGTATGCAAAGCTGTGATTTTTCTATTCTAAAGTCTCTCTCTCTCTCTTTAACATTAGAAGGCAACAAAGGAGAATATAGATTAGAGATTTGAGGATAACATATACTTTAAAGGCTTTTATAAAGGACTGATTAAATACTGACTTCAAAGATGAAACAAGTTGTATTGTGAAATCTTCAAACTGTAAGGCTGATGATTCCAAATCCTTTATTTTACATAGGAAGGATTTAGGGCAAAGGGGCTTCACAGGCTGCCTAAGATAACACATAGAGTTAGCAGAAAAGCTGGGATGAAGCCCAGCAGAGTGTGCCGTTTATTTCACCTGTTCTCAATCTTGGCCTCTTTTCTACTACCATCATTTTACAAACAAAACAAAATACAACAAAACAAATGCCTGCTTGATGAAGCAAAAATTTTAAAGTTTATGTTCTTAGGTCTTTCATTAGTACGTTTTTCAGAAATAGCAGAAATATTCCTTTCAGGAGATTTTAAGGACTTGAATTGCAGAAATACTTCAGAGGAATCATTAAGCAGTCTTCCTAAGGTCTGAACCAACACTGTCCAGGGTTTATTTATGATTTTAAAGGTCACTGGGAGAGGTGCAAAGTGTGTGTTGAAGGGTCTAGACATTTCCCTCGCTGTGGCTTTTAGCATACCAGTTATTTGTTTAGGGAATGGAAATACCGCTCTGGCTTCATAGAGCCTAGGTTACAATCTTGCATCAGTAGAGGTAGACTTTTTCTTTATTTGTATGGAATATGTAATTTCACATTTTTCTGATAAATAATTTCATTACCTCATTAGTTCATCAGCAGTTTTACAAAGAAACCCTAGAAAGTTGTAAGGTGTCCAATTTGTTAATCTTAAAGGAACTGTTTCATTTGCAAATCATGCTGTATGGTTCTTATAAATCTTATTATTTCAAGCGATGAGTCTTAATCCAAAAAATGTAACAAGTATAAGTGATTCAAATCTAAACTCATCTTTGTCACTGGTGACAAGAATTTTTTCATAGAATAAGTTCTTTGGGAAAAAGAGAGATACCATTTACTAACAAGATTCATATGTATTTAGAGATCATATGCAAAATCCAGGAGGGCTTAATTTCCTAAAGCCAAGGGCTGTTTTCTATTCATCAGTGAATCCATTGCACTTAAAACATAAGGTTAAATAGTAAAACTTGGCAATATTTACTTAGCATTTACTACGTGCTATGAGCTTTAATTATATACTGTTACAATTTTCAAACCTAGTTATTTGAAAATATCATTATAATCCCCATTTTATATGAGAAGAAACTAAGGTTTAAGAAGATAAACTAACTTAAGATGGCCACAATGACACTGGGTTTATAGATAAAGAAGTTAGATCCCAGCCTCTGTCATATAAAACGACTTCATGCTTTTATTCTTAAAAATGTTTGCTAAGGTTGAAAAAAGAAAAGGGCAACATCATCTGGAAGATTTTCTGACCACATGCCTATGTCTTTTTAAATTTGCTAATAAAGCTGTAATTCAGAGCTGATTTTAACCTGGAGAGTGAAAAAAAATTATTTTGTTTAAGGAATGAAAACACATCTCTGGCTTCATTAGAGCCTATGTTACAATCCAGCATCAGTAGAAGCAGCTCTTCTCTCTACTTGTATGGAATATGTAATTGTATATTTTCCTGATAAATCTTTCCATTACCTAATTAGTTCACCAGCAATTTTAGCAAATGCCCTCGCAAGCTCTAAGCTGTCTAATGTGAAGGCTGTCTTGCTCATGTCAGTTCATCACCAAGAAGCTATTTACAGTTCATTCTCTAAATAGCTACACATAGAGAATTACATCACACTTGATGTGTAGAACCCTCTTGCTGTACCAATAGCTATCACCAACATCATCTCTTTTCTGATAAAACACATGAATCTTGTTCCTAAGCACTTACTCCCCTTTATTCCCAGGTCTGATCTTCTCTTTCAAAGAACACACAAACATACACACCACTTACATACTATTTTCTAGACAATTTATGTATAGCTGGAGGAAAACTTATAAGATTATAAGATAATCTTGACTAAGGCTATTCATTAATTCTTTTTACCAACAATGAATAAAAATTAGAGATGTATCTAAGTGGCAGCAGGAAGGTTTTAGTTGTATAGAGGTAGGGGAATGGAGTATATTCTGTGCAGAAACTCTGAAATAAATTAATGAACAAAGCTTACTTAAGAAGTTCTTTTAGATCATGACACATCATTGGTTCCTGAAATTTTCATCTCATGATATTCATTCTTCACTCCCATCAACCTGAGAATGGTCATGAATATGAAACACAAAATTTTGCTCAAAGTACGTTTTTGAAACTCGTTAGCAACTCTGTCTCTCATAATCCCTGACCTGTAATTTTTCAGGAATCTGAGTAGAGAATTCCAATGTTGTATACCTTAAAAACATTTGATAGCATTAAATTAAATGAGAAAATGGTTTGGTCATCCCATAATTTTCCAAAAGGCTCAATAAGGTGAAACAGACACAACCCAAGTAAAATTTTACATGATGACATAGATACACCAATGCAAAGTTAAAACAGATTTCCACCTGAGAATTCAAGAAATATACTACCTTGCCCCAAACCGGTAAGAATCCGATTACCACAAGGATGGATAGTTACCCATGGCGAAGAACGGGATTCCCAGCAGGGTGGAGTTGTACTTTCCATCGGTGATGAAGAAGATCCCTGCTGCGGTGATGATGGAGATGCACACTGTGAGCACCCCCAGGAGGCCCAGGAAGGGCTTACTCCGCAAGCAGTCCTTCATGGAGCTGGAGAGGGTGGCTGTGGTCAGGATCAGCACAAGGCTCACCAGGACCTTGCTTCTGGCCAGGATGCTGATCTTATGAAAGTCTCTCCAGAGGCTAAAGGATGCTAAAGAGTAGAGCTGGAGGTCTTGATGCTCTTCCTGGAGCTTTCTCATAAGCTTACAGAACTCATTCTCCCACTTCTCCCCTATGAGGTCTTGGGTGGCAGAGCCATAGGTCTGGAGGTAGTAGGTGATTTGAATGGCTCTGGCCGACTTGACCCGCTGGTCTTTGCTGTTTGGCACTTCCACTACCCCGCCCAGTTGATGTCCAATAAAACTGTTCCTCCCATCCTTGAAAACAGAAAAAGAAGAGACTTCTGTTACCAAATGGATGCACACTCCAGGGAATAGATTCTTACTCTAAGTGAAGGAGCACAAGGAAGGCAGAGATAGGTGCTAGTAATTATGAAACTGATGTGGGTGGAGAGGCAAGTTAGAATTTTATATTCAACATTTGGAGCTACATGGGATACCACGCATGATGATCAAGGACAGAAAATATGCAAAAAGTAGTACAAAAAGAATTGCCCACATGTTTAGAAAAATGTAGATAAATATTTTGATCTCACTTATATCCCAGTTTCCAACATTTCCTTTTGTAGCAATCCATGACAACTTCTTAATAAAGGATCAAGTTTTATGATTCAGTTTCAGCCAAAAGTAAAGATTGCCACAAACTAATAATATTTCAAAAGTTAAGATGATTATCTATTCTATAGACACAGACTAATCTTTCTAGAGTTAATTTGTATACCTATGCCAACACTCATACAAATATACACGACCATGAATATTCTTATATATTCTTTATATTCTGGGAATATAATTGTATATTGAAGAGCAGTACAAAAAAATGCTGTTTCTTATAATTAATTTAAAGGCACTGAAATGTTTCTTAAGTATAATGTGAATACATATCCAAACATTACAATGCTCCCTCCAAACACCTGCCTCAGACACACGTGACATTTTCTTATTGATTAGAGTAGACAAATCTCCCAAATGAGATTGATAAGAATTTCAGATTGAGTTGCCAAAAGTCAATTCATTTTCAGCGTTTGACATGAAGTAGAGGAGGCAAAATCATGATGGAAGGAAACTGGTAAGAGAAGCAATCACTCCTCCTTAAGGCATGCATATGTGGTCAAAGAGTTACTAAAACAGGTTGAGAACAGTAAATCTCATCCAGTGTGCCCCAACATGAAGAAAGAAATCTCAGAGAGTTGTCACCAAATTATCATTAATTTGGGAATTTTATTATTGCCACAATTATCATTTATTTCAATGGTAATGGTTCTCAGAATACTGAAGCTAGTAGCAGGTTGCATGATAAAGTATAGCACTGAAAATATGCACGGGTACCAGGTGAGAGGCAGGCACTAAGTTACGTTTATGACAAAAGTAGACCATGTGGGGAGGCCGAGGCAGGTGGATCACGAGGTCAAGAGATCGAGACCATCCTGGTCAACATGGTGAAACCCCGTCTCTACTAAAACTACAAAAAATTAGCTGGGCATGGTGGTGCGTGCCTGTAATCCCAGCTACTCAGGAAGCTGAGGCAGGAGAATTGCCTGAACCCAGGAAGCGGAGGTTGCGGTGAGCCGAGATCGCGCCATTGCACTCCAGCCTGGGTAACATGAGTGAA